ATATTATACAAATAAAAATGAACTTCTCATTGTTTTGTTTTCAAAAATATGGAAAAAAGAAAATGAAAACAGAACCAAACATATCTTAAACTGATTCAATATATGGGGTGTGGGTAAGTAGTAGATGATCTATTTGTTATTTGGTTATTTCTACTTTTTCTATCCATACACCAAAAAGAATAAAACTTTCAACTCAGTACTAGATCACTTACTCTGTGTCCTTGAAAATCCTGTGTAGTGGAGACCCGTGGTTCTCCCTGATCGGTATATCGACCACGGATCACCAACTGACCAACTGTCCCAAGCTGGTCTCACACCAATGCACATTGCAGCAACAGTGTTCAATATGTTATGTCATAGAAGAGATGTCGGGTTTTCGCTTCTCTCCACAATGTACAAATAGGACGACCCACAGCTTTAAACAACAATAGAAGGTGTCAGCTAATATTTAAAACCCTGAGGGTGACAGCTAATACTGTAAAAATTTAGTGTTACCATGAATTACTTGGTATATTTGTCATTTATCCTAGGTATGCATACAATTACAGGGCAGGCTCTAAATGCACTTAAAATTTTAGGATGCATTTAAAGCCTCCTAACTACAGTCATATACCACAAATATAAATAATGTCATAGATGGAAGAAGATTTACAGTGCAATGTAACCAACTCCTTGCCAATTTACTGTAACCGACTCCTTGCCAATTCAAGTCAACAACAAGCACAAAGGCAGTGTAATTCTATAAACACAAAAAGTTAAAACATTTTTTGAACTGCCTAATAAATTGAAAGGAAAATTCTACTTACACAAAGTTTTAGCTCACTATACCTGTTATCATAATATTTTTATTCTTTTATAGGATTACTATTAAGAACTAAAAAACCTTATTGTTTTTCTTTCATTAACCTCTGATCATATATCCAGAGTAACAGAGTACTCATTTGTGTTTGTTATTGCCAGAAAAATAGAATTTTTATTGGGCTTTGACTTTTAAGACGTAATAGAAGTAGTTTTGTTGGTGGGTTGGTGTCATTGGATGTAATTTGGTGAGTTGGGTTTGAATTTGGAGGTGAATTCAGGCTTGGTAAGAGGAATTAAATATATAACAGTGGTACCGAACTCTATTTCAAAGTTCCCTACTCAGTCTGTGTTCCTTAGTTATAAATTGTATGTATAAAACAGTCCTTAATGCACCTTAGTGAGCCATTTGATGAAGATAAAAGGTTTTTATCTGTAATTTTTTTTCCTAGTTTAGTTTGAAATTGCAAATATAACTTGACAATCATGATACTATAATCTTTCTTTATTCACTGAACACTGTCTCTTCAAATCCCATGAATATACATCACACATTTGGAAATTAATCTTACTGTATTGTCCTTGTAGATTAACAATCATAGAGTACAATTTTAGACATACTGAATGATATAACCTACTGTTTCTGCATTACCAGTCACACGGTTGGAGGTATACTAGACAGAGCCATTGAAGTAGAGGACAAAAAACATGGAGATTTATTGAGGCTGGTACTTCCTCTCTTCTAACTCTCTTCTACATCTACTATTGGCTGTTCTGCTATACACTATGGTCACTTTAAAAATCCTTTCATTATTTACATTATGTTACTATAATGTGAGCAGAATCATGTTGAGGGCTACCTTGAACTGTCTGCGAAGACAAAGTCATATTTTGCTGCTGCTGTTGCTTCATGGGATGCAAATTTTTATGTGAAAGTTGATGATGATGTTCATGTAAATATAGGTAAGAAATTTGTTTTTAGTACTTGATATAAAAATAAAATGCATACATGAAGGTCTAAAATCCAATCTATAGATGCAAGACACTCAATGTGTTACAACTTTTAAATTCCCAATCGGGGTAGAAACTTCAGATGCCCATGTTCATATAAACCTCTAAATTCAAATCTACGACTGATATGATTGATTAAACAAGTTTTACTTGAAAATGAAATTATATATGCTTGTAACTCTACAAATTATTTATTTATTTTGTTGCATTGGGTAAGATGTTGTAAATTTTGCAGCAACACTAGGAGAAACTTTGGCAAGATACAGGAAAAAGCCATAGGTGTATATCAGATGTATGAAATCTGGTCCTGTCCTTGCTCAGAAGTAAGTGGAATTTTGTCCTAAAATCCTTACTGTTAACTGGATGTTGAGAAAGTGTTAAGCTTTTAGATGTCTTATTTGTGCACTCTGTGGAACAGGGGAGTGAGGTACCATGAACCTGAATATTGGAAATTCGAGGAGGCAAGAAACAGGTATTTTAGACATGCTACAGGACAACTATATGCCATTTCAAAAGATTTGGCTACTTACATCTCGATAAACCAATTAAGTTACACTCTCACATGGTGTTAAAAATGAGAGAACAAAAAAAGAAATGTGTGTGTATCACTGAAGCCATTTTCGCACAAAGAGAGAAAGTGTGGGTTTTTGATGATGATACAAATTGTGATTGATCTGTATCTATATATATATATATATATATGTATATATTTCTGCAAATGTGTGTGTATTTGTAATATTGAGGAACATTATAAATCTTATATATTTGTTTATTAATTTGCATTAAGACTAGGGGAAGTTATTATTTTATTTGAGTTATGTACAACGTAAGGTACAAGTAAAATTGTTACAAATTCTTAAGAAGAATATTTTTTTTAATATTTTTTTAATATCTTTATCAAAAATGCTACAGACTTCATGAATTTTAACATGATACGTATAAATTATAATTACATTTTAATCCCAATATGATTTATACCGAACATTATTTACACCGTACCTTTAAACACGAGCATACACTAGTATATATATATTACGAATTGAGATCTGCATACATCCTACCGATTCATAAAATATAAATATATTTGTAGGCTACCTACCGATATGTGTTGCTTATGCAGGAGTAGTCAAAGATATTCACATCATGGGTTTTGATGATCACATTCACTAAGGTGATGTCATACTTAGTAATCATCAAAGAGTTGGTGTGTATATACAAAGCTACTAAATGGTCATTGATGTATAAGAAGACTCGCCGTCAGTACTCCAGTAATCTGTTTCACAATCTCTATGCTTTAGCGGCTGCCGTTTGAAAGTGTGTGTGGAGCTAATGATGGTGCTGTTATAAATAGGAGTGTTTTGGAGCTGTGCAAACCCTAGCAGCTCTCTTGGTATTCCCTTCCATATGAGGATAAGGGGTTGATCACGCACAGTAAAAAAAAAAAAAAAAAAACACCTGCTCCTTAAAGTTATATTAAAAGGATCACACTCTTCCTTATTTTGGAGACGATGCATGGTTAGTCATTACATTTGCTCCATAATTAAAATTCTTACCTCATGAATATGACCAAACTACTTCAAACCTCACCTTTGATGCTTAGAATTTTGAAGTGGAGGCAATTTGTAGACACTAATTTTCAAGTGTCTTGATCACCGTCTGATTTATCAAAGAAAATAAATTTTCTTAATTGGTCAAAATTAAGATGGTCAAATTTTCAAATGAATATGGGTCCTACTAAAATTATGGATCTTAACCCATTTTAAATTGTAGGTCACACCATAAGAAAAGTAACTTATTTTGACAAATCATATCCATAAAATAAGAAATAAATTGCTTGTTTCTTGGAAATTAGAGTGAATTTTGGTGTTTTCAAAATTAACCCTCTCCTCCTAAGCCTATAAATAGAGGCTCTCATTAGGGAGAAAGGGACATTCTTTGGCTACTGGTCTTGCAAGCTCCTAAGCAATTTCGAGACTCTGTCAAATTCTTTTCTTAAAATTCTCTCTAAAGTTTCTCAAATTTAAAAGGAATGATTATCAAACACTCCAAACTTGTGTCAATCCTTTCAAGTTACAAATACAAATTTGGACCCTCTTTTCAAAGAGATCATTTCAAGACTCATTCGAGATTAAGCCGTTCAAGTCCTCGATCAAGCCTTTCTTCTCCAAGTTTCTTCATTCGAAGACTTGAAGAAATTCATCAACTTATTCGATTCAACAACAAACTTCTACAGCCGTTGGATCACAACCCATTTCAGAGATCAAATCAGAGGATTTGTTCTTTTGTAATAGAGCAAACCACAGAGAATTGTACCCATTTATTATAATCAAATAAAATTACTTATTTGTGCATTTATTTCGCATCTTAATTGCCAGATACAAAATTTGTGTTTACACCCTTGAAGGACCAAAAATGTCCAAATCTGAGTATAAAAATTTGAGGGCAAAAATGAAATAAACAAAAATGTTCAGGAACTATAGGTAAAAGAGTCTCCATTAAGAACCTATTAGGTAATAACCCTTGAAAATAGGACTGGGCTGTAAAAATCCCTAATTTTTATCCCTCAACATAAACAGACCTCTAACACTTGCAAAAAAACCACTGATCCAATCTTGTCTGTCTATGACCCAACATACAACAACCGTGTAAAAGCCCAATGACTATGGGGGCTAATTTCGTTGCCGACAACAAGAAGTCTTTCAGCCCAGGTGTAAGGGTTGGTTTTTCTGAGGGACTCTACCCATAATTCTTGCTCAAAAGAAAAAGGTTCAACTCCTAATTTTTATGTATTGACTATCAAACAAATATAAATAAATTTTTGTTAACTAATATCCCAAATGCACTTGCTTAGCACTAATTTTGAAAGTACTTCTCAGCATTGTTAAAAACTAAAATAAAATAATTGAACGATCCATATGTTGTTTTGAAGGTAAAAATCAAGATTCATCCGATGTTAAAGTAGTTTTAAAAAATTATACATACTTTCTATTTTATGTAGAATGTATAGTTTTTTAAAAATATATACTTATATATTTAACATTTGTCTTATGTTAACAAAATCCTAATAAGATCAACAATAATCTTTTACGATTGAAATTCTATAAATTATATAAAATGACTTCAATCCAAACTTTACACATCACAGTTGACCAAACAGACTGCGATACTATTAAACCCTTGACTGAACTCTGTCGTCCATTGGTGATGGCCAGAAAATTGTATAATTTTCCATGTAATGAGTCCCACTTTCCTGGGAAGGCACCCTCCTTCTCTGTCCCTTTTCCGTTGTTGATTTTTCTGGAAGTTGGATTTGATCATTTCCCTCTCTTGTTTCGGTGTGTGGGTGTCCCTGTGTGCATGATTTACTACTGATCTTCAATCTTCAGACCAACCATGGTGATCATTACTGGTATGTTGATGACCACAATTAATTTACTGGTTCTAACTCTTGATTTTTTTCCTCTTCCCCTTTCACAACTACGGATTTAACATCTGGGTTTACGATTTCACCATCATCGATTATATAGAGCACTAATTAACCACTGATTGTTTCACGCAGTTGCAAGTGCGTTAATCTATGCGAACAAGATGAGCTTTTTCGAAGCCTTTACAGACAATATGAAGAACGTGTGGACTGAATGGGAGCTTCGAGGTCTAATTCTGCTCAGCCTCATCTTGCAAATACTACTGATACTGTTAGGCAAACGCCGAAAGTACATCGCCAGAACTTGGATCAGAGTCACTCTCTGGTCTGCCTATTTAATGGCCGATTGGGTCGCAACAGTGGCTCTCGGTGTCATCTCCAACAGTGGTCGACAAAATCCAATCCCCGTCAAGGACAAAGACACATTACTCGACAAGAAGCATCTGATGTCGTTCTGGGCACCTTTTCTTCTGCTTCACCTCGGCGGTCCCGACACCATCACCGCCTACGCCATGGAAGATAATCAGCTCTGGTTGCGGCACCTGCTTGGACTGGTGGTTCAGAGCGGAGTCGCAATCTACATCCTTTTCATGGCTTGGCCTCCTGCTCATTCATGGCTTCCAATTTTGAGTCTACCCATGTTTTTGGCTGGTCTGATTAAGTATGGAGAACGGACTTGGGCTCTGAGATCAGCAAATACGGAACAACTCCGTGAATCGTTGCTCACTCTCCCCGATCCCGGCCCCAATTACGCGAAATTCATGGAGGAATTCACTATAAAGAAGGCCGAGGGGTTCCATGTGAAAGCCGTTGAGGTGATTGAAGAAGCCCCAGTTCCCATTGATCATTCGCATGCTGTTACAGGCCACGAATTAGTACTCAAAGCATATGATCTATTTCAGACATTCAAACGCCTATTCGTAGATCTCATCCTTAGTTTTCAGGATCGAGACGCGAGTAAAGCCTTCTTTCAGGAACTCTCTGACTCTCCCGAAACTGCTTTCCATGTGATTGAGGTTGAGCTCGGATTCGCTTTCGATGTTCTCTACACCAAGGCACCTGTGGTTTACACACTTGTAGGCTGCATTCTGAGATTTATATGTTTCTCTTCTACTTTTGTTGTGTTGGTTGCGTTTGTATTGTTGTGTCGGACAGAGACGCATAAGTATCAGTTAATCGATGTGATCATCACTTACTTGTTGCTGATTGTGGCAATTTTGCTGGAAATGTATGCTGTCGTTGTTATGATCCGCTCAGACTGGACAGATCATTGGTTGAGTGAACACAAGAGAACTCGGGACTTTTTCCTGATGCCTTGCCTGAAAAAACCCAAGAAACATTGGTGGTCTAATTCCATGGCGCAGTACAATTTACTAAGCTTTTGCCTCGGGGATAAGCCAGCAACGTGCCCTGGGATCCAAAAGCTACTTCGGATTTATGATTTTCGAGAGAAACACCGTTACAAGACGTACAGTGATGCGTCCCCGAAGCTGAAAGCCATTATCTTCAATCATTTATTGGAGATTATGAGAAGCAGCAACGACGACCCATTGGCTTTATGTACACACAGAGGTAGTTTTGTTCTCAAGCAATACGATTTACCCAAATTTGAGTGGAGTACCAAGGTAGAATTTGACCAAAGCATTCTTATCTGGCACATTGCTACGGACCTGTGCTATTACATGGAAGATGGTGGTGTCAATACAGCGAACAAAGAGGAGAGCAAGCAAATTTCGGACTATATGTTATACCTTCTGGTAATGTGTCCAGCTTTGTTGCCAATAGGAATTGGGATGATCAGGTTTCGAGACACTTGTGCGGAAGCCAGGTTGTTCTTTGAAGAAAGAAGTTCCGTAACTGGTGATGGATTTAAATTTAAAGCCAATGCCTGTGAGAAGTTGTTGCAAGTGAACACTGAAGTATTACCAATTAAAGTGAAGGGGGACAGGAGCAAATCTGTGTTGTTCGATGCTTGCAGGCTTGCAAAGTCTTTGCGCGCCATGAAGGAACAAAAATGGGGTATTATGAGTCTTGTGTGGGTGGAGATGCTAGCTTATGCGGCTACTCACTGTAGAGGAAATCACCACATTCAGCAGCTCAGGAAAGGCGGTGAGCTTCTCACTCATGTCTGGCTTCTGATGGCGCATCTGGGTATTACAGAACAGTTCCAAATATATCAGGGCCATGCTAGAGCTAAGCTGAATGACGAGTAGGAAAGGGCACAGTGCTGAATTGTTGTTAGGTGTTTTGCACTGTAAGGTCCTTTTATGCTTTCTCTTGGAAATGAATGATGTGAGAGGTTAGCATACTATCTTGAGAAATGTCTTGACCATGGGAATGTCAACTTCATCAAACAATGTGGGTGTTTGGGAAGTGGGTTTTTATGTAGGTTTTTTTAGTTGTAAGATATTATTAGATAAAAAATTTTTGGTGTTTGGGAAGATAGTTGGGTTTTTTTGTAGCTGGATGTGATGTTTGTGAGAGAAAAAGTGAAATGATTATGGAATTGGATGTGATATTTTGTTTGGATTTATTTTTTTTTGGTTTTGCAAAAACTTTCTTTTAGTGGAAAAAATAAAAAAAAAAACCCAAAATCAAATCTTGCCAAACACCGCCACATGCTACATCACACTCTTGATTGGGAGTAAAAATTCAGTATAATGATGATACATCGTGCCTGTTTGGCAGAAATTATAATCAGCTTATTTCAGCTTTCAGCTTAATTTAAGCTATTTTGATGTGTTTGGTTTAGCTTATAGCTTATAGTTTTTTGGAAGTCAGAAATCAGCTTATTCTTTGAGTGGGGCAGGAGATGCTTTAAGAATAAGTCAGAAATCAGCTTATGTTCATAGTTATAAGTTATAAGCTGTTTAGGCATAAGTTATAAGCACTTTCTCACAGTTCTACCAAACAGGGCTATCATCATTGACATTGTAGCTTTCAAGCTGATGTCTAGTTGGGAAGATGTTGGACAATTGCCATTTTCTCAATCATCCATGTGTTTGTGAGTAGATCTTTAGTCCTTTCCACCTTTTGAAACCTTGGAAAGCTTAATATTGGATTTACCTGTCATTCATTCCAGTCAAACTTAGTGAACTCCAATATGTTTTTCATTTGGTGTGTATGCGAATCAAATTGTCTGTAATAGCTTGCTTGTGATCAAGCTGCAGCAGGATTTCATTGTGCATCTTTTAAGCCTTCTTTACTCAGCTGTGTTTTATATCGTGCTGTCCAGTAAGCTTATTTTGTAATGTGAAATTGATGAGTAATGTGTTTTAGGGGATGACACTGTTTAACACTATTTAATTGTTGTTGGGACTCGTGGAATCAACCCGAGTGTCTCATCTTTTGTTGCAGACCAATTTGATGACACTGATAGGAAGAAGAAGAGTTCCTTCTTCCATTAGTTCTACTTGTCAATCAATGTGGGTGCTCTTATTGCTTCCTCTGTTTTGTGTCTAGTCTTCTTGACATCTCAAATTTCAAAGGATAAATTTCACTTTATGTACACATTGAAAACCTTTCTAGAACAATACAGAAAACAGAGATGAACACAAGAAAGGTGAATAAGCTTCTCTAACTTCCTTTCTCAATTCATTACATAGTATATATACACTCTAACAACCACCACACACCAATAACAATAACTCAATTATGGAAAATTATTAGATAATCCGGAAGTACCATGTGACATTGTCTATATGATGCTTCAACCCAAGAGAAATTACAACACATGCTAAAAGGGTTATCCAACACATACTAAATGCGCCATTATTCTGAACGCAATTTAATGACAACCAAATATGTTTCATTCCCTTTGACAGTCTTAATTAAGTTTAATTTAAGACATTTTAACATAAAGGAAGAAGTACAAAGTCAAAAGACAGGAAAGCATAGACAAGCAGCTCTCAGCTCACCCACAATTGATACATCCATATATATATATTCTAGAGCTGATGGTGAGAATGAAAGCAGAAACATAAACAAGAAACAAAACAGTGAAAAACTAAGGCACGACAAAAAGCAAAGACACTGGAAAAAGAAGATGGCAAGGCTAACTCCTCCCCAAGCTAATTCCAATTGAAACCGGGGCAGATGAAGGTCTTCAGTTAATTAGTAAGCCTGTGAACTTGTTTCGGAATGCCCAGCCTGCCCATTCATGAGTAGCGCATTCCCATTAATGTGACAAACATTATCTTCTTCTTCTTCCTCCTCCCACTGCAACCAAAACAAATCAATTTTAGAGAGCTCAGGTACTAGTACACATGAGAATGCATTCACAATTTAAAAATAGTCATTTAACAAGCTGCATTTTAACAATCAACAAACAAACAGAAGACAAAGCAGAAAATGTAACTCACAGGCAAAGGAGTGAAAGGCAAATTATTTTCGGTAAGGGTGGTATGATCCGATTTTTGCTCTTGAACGTCAGTTACAAATCTTTTCGGCATGTTTGTCAAGATTACTTCTTCGAGGGTGCTCAGTTGCAGCAGAGTTGGAGGCAAGGTCCTGAGGTTATCACAGCATCTGATATTTAATTCTTTGAGGTTCTGCATTGCCCCTTCCTTTACATCCCATTCCTTCAAGCTCTTCAGCATCCACAGTTTCAAGACTCTAAGCTTACTGAATCCTCTGAGAGGGCAAACAATTTTTTCCCCTAGGAACGAATTGGCTAAAAGCCTGAGAACAGTTAGATTCTGCAGCTGCCCCAAAGTTGGCATTGGATCTTCAGTCAGTTGTGAGACTGACAATGTGAGAACTTTGAGTCCCGGCGGGAATTCAAGTTTAGCAGGCAGCTTCTGTAAATTACCCAGCAAATTCAGGTGGGAAAGCTTCCCTAGGGCCGACAATGGCTTCAAATCGAGTTTGGAAGGACGTCCCCTTTCGTCCTTGGATCGCAACCTCAGAGATTGAAGATTTGTCAAGTTTGAAATCCATTCAGTCAAGTCTAAGCTGGACTTCAAATTAAACGAAATGCCTAATTCTCTTAGATCATGTAGCTTGCTCAAGCCATTCTTAACCGAACTCTTGTCATCTACAAACAATCCCCATAAAGTCAGGAGCCCTGGCAGAGGACTGTGTTGTTGCTCAGGCATGTCAAGACGGATCTCATTGAGATTGAGATGTCGCAGATGTTCCAATTTCCAAATGGAATTGGGCAGGCTATTGATATATGTGCACTTGAGATCCAGCGTCTCGAGGTAGGGAAGGTCACCAACAGAAGGAGGGAGGTTGTCCAAGAAAGTCCATCTCAACCCCAAGTACCTCAAATGAAAGAGATCCCCGAGCTTATCCGGTAAACTTGGTTTATACACGCCTTCCAAGTCAAGCACCCTGAGTAAGCCATACCCTCGGTTACCAGTGATTTTGCTGACAAAATTGGCAACTTGAATTGCAGGGATGTCTTTCCTTTGAATGTTAAATGATATGTAAGACCTCAAATATTGAAGTTCAGAGTCATTGAAAGCACAATTCTTGAGATTCAGGTACTCGACAATCCTGCGAAGTCCAAATCGGCCTCCTGTTTCTTCCATGTTGCAATCAGAGTTGCTGCGGTGGACATGGAAAAGGCTGATATCTTCAGCTTTAGGGAGCAAGTAATCATGCAGGGCACTCGGTAAATGACACCTTTTCGGGCTCCCATCGGACCTAAATTTCGATATCTGAATCAAGTTCCGGTTAACCAAATCATCAAAGTATTCCCCTGCCACATCCTGCTCCGTGGTCATTAATGGGGTTGGGGATCGCTTCACAAATCCCTCAGCAAGCCACAACCGAACCAACCTCCTAACCGGGATGTCGAATTCTTTAGGAAAAAGCACCAGATAGAGCAGGCAAAGCTTGGAGTGAACAGGTAGGTCATTGTAGCACAATGACAAGATGTCAAAACCATGCCCATCGATATGGTCCAACACTCTTGACCATTCATCATAGGATATTTTTTTGGTGGATAACAAACCACCAAGCAGGACGATCTTCAATGGCAGACGTTCACATATTTCCAGAATCCTTCGTTGTAATTCCAAAATATCTGAGTCTGACTCTGTTGTAGGTATTTCAGAGAGCCGTGCCTTCTTCAGGAACATTTTCCAGCTTTCCTCACGACTTAGCCTCTTCATGCAATGCGGCGGGTTATCTGAACCCCCCGCGGACAAAGCTACTCGTTCGTCACAAGTAATGAGGATGATCTTGGTACCATTTCCTGTGTTTGGATTTGGAAACGCATCTTTGAGTTTCTCCCAAGCATCACAAGTCCGGACACCGTCCATGACAACAAAAAACTTCTTCTCCGCCAGCTTATTTGCCAGAACTTGCTGGGGATTCAGAACCACACCTTGGTCTTGCTTCTTGGAACTATCTACCTGTTTTAACAAGCTTAACAACACATCTCTTTCTGTATAATCCTTGGATACAGAGACCCAAGCTCGGCCTCCTTTGAAATAGCTCTTGATTTCCTTGCTCTTGTAAATCGCTTGCGCAAGCGTAGTCTTGCCCGAACCCACTTCTCCAACAATCGAGAGTATGTTGTTGTTGTTGGTATCAGAGGTTAGTCTTTTCACCAACGCATCTACACGCTCTGGGAATCCAACAATTCCCAAATCTTCTTCTTCTTCTTCTTGATTAGAAAAACTAGAAGTAAGTGTAGGCCGCCTCAGATGCTCTCCAAAGCTCGACCCAAGACTCGGAGTTTTCACAGGTTTGGCCTCGCAAATCTCATCCTCTTCTTCTTCTTGTTCTTCTTCTCCTTCTTCTTCATGATGATGAAAACGGTTTTCTTGAAAGCTAGAATCAGAAAAATGGTATTTGAAACTGGCATCGCGAACCATACCGGGCTTCCTTTTGTTGAGCTCGTCGATTTCAGTCTCGATACTAGCCATCTTCCAGCGAAGCTTTTTGCTAGCCTTGAGATTGTTGAAGAAGAAAAACAGACAAGCATAATTGTTGAAGACATCCCCAATTGAACTCGAATTGCACATCCTCGTCTTCCACCTATGAGATGCTATGCGAAGGGCAAAGGTTTCGATGTTGTCCTCGACACAATAGAGAATGCGAAGATAATCATCGGCCCACTTCTTCGCCGATTTGTCGGGACCTTCGTTTTCTTCGGCGTCGATCAAGAAACCTCGCATTCGCCGGAGCTTGATTCGGATCTCCTCTACCTTGTCGATCACTTTGTCAAATACTACTGGTTCTTCGATCAGCATGTCAGTGAGTTTTTGAATGACCACCGAAACTACTGCATCGACCGCCATTGGAGAAACTTAGATTGCTCAGGGAAGCAAAACCACTCCTCACCTACTCTTCTCTCTGTAACGAAGATGCATTAGAGAAAGTTACAAGGAAGTTTCATGGGGGTTGTCTCGAAGATCACAGAGTTTTCATTCGGTCGGGTCGGGTCGGGTCGGAACTAAGATTTGGAATGGAGCCCCACACGTCACAAAGGCCGACGTGTTCGATCATCTGCACCTTTGCAAGTCATCTGATTAAACACTAATAAATCAATTTTAAATTTTTAAATTTTTTCAATTTAAATTCTATTTCTTATTTAAATTACTTGTCTATTTTTATTAAATAAATTAATAAAAAATATATATTTTAATCATTAAATTCATTGAAAAAGATTTTTTTAGATATTTTATATATACTTACGTCGAGTTTAATAGTTAAAATATTTAAAATAAATAGACATTTTACATAACGAAAATAAATAAATCATTTGAATTTTAAAAAAAATTAAATTTAAATTGACAAATAAAATTTTATAATTTATTTCGTTATCGGGTCAAATTCTAAATTTTTTTTTAGGGGAAAGCACCAATAAATCCCAAATTTAGAAATGTTAATCCATTTAGTCCCAAATGTTTTTTGTTAGACTAATAGGTCCTGTTTCCCAAGAAACTTACTATAGGCCTTTTTTTGATTTCCTTTCTTTTCAAACATCAAACATTATTCATCAAATATCAAACATTAGCAACGTCAGGATTATTTATCAAACATCAAATATTAGCAACGTCAGAATTATTCGTATAATATCGATGAAAACATTGAAAACGTTAGAATTATTCATCTAACATCAAACATTAGCAACGTCAAAGATTATTCATTAAACATCGACCATTAAACATTAGGATTATTCATCAAACATCATCAAACATTGTGAACATAATCAACATGAACATCAACTACATCGCATACACAGTTACAGAATGATCGATTTCGATTTCGCACTGTGCTCATTATTCCGTAACATGGAACATCAATGTTAGAACATCATAAACAAAACATCGTGAAAAATTACACATCAGATTCATTTAAACATAAATACCAAAAAATCAGATTCATTTAATCATCAGATTTCAAACATCAGATTCATTAATCTAATGTAACACCAACCCAAAATGGTAAACATCAGATTCAATAATTTTGGGTTGGTGTTCATATGTTTCAAACACCATATTCATTAAACATCAGATCGGATCGCAGTTGAACATCAGATCTGGTAATGGAGACACCGAAGACGGCGGCAGGCCGCCAGGTGGCGCCGGAGACGGCGGAGAGGAGGACCGGTTCGCCGTCGAAGGATAGGGATAGTCGGTCGACAGAGTCGTCCCAGATTGGGGTTTTTTGGGCGGCGATGATCTGGGTTTTGGATCCCAATCTGCGTACCCGACGTTGTGTAACTGCCCTTAATTTAACTGTCAAAATAGTGATTCAAACATAATAAGTACCATAATTTGTCTAATGTCTAAATCTCTCCAAATGTTTAAAAGAACATAGAAGTTTACCAGGAACAGAGGAGATGTTTCTTTCTCTAGAGAGACAAAGAAACATCAAAGCCGTCCCAGTCACCAAGAACAAAACCCAGCACACAGTACCCTTCATAATATACATAGATATACCAATAAATATATGAATCTATTGGTGTATGTATGTATCAATCTATTGATGATGTTCGAATATATTGGTGATGATGTACGAATGTTGATTGTTTTTATCCACCAATGATAAAATTATGTAAAATTGATAAAAATTAATAAAAATTACATGATTAATTTTTTAAAATTAATTTTACATGATCATTATCCAAACACATAATAAAAATTAATTTAGTAAAAAAATAAATAAATATCTAAAAGATTTATTAATTTTACATAATTTTATTTTTAGTCGGTAGAAATAATTTTAAAAATTCAAAAATATTTGTTTGACATTTGTTTTTGTCAAATTAGTTTATACTTTATCAAATTGACGATTTTATCCTTAAAAAATCTAATGATATCTTCAATTGTTCTTATTTGAAACAAGATTCAAAATTCAGGATCAAATGTACCACAATTAAAAAGTCAAAAACCAAAATAACATATGTCCCAAACTATAGAGACTATTAATGTAATTCACCCTTCAATTAATACTATATTAATCGAATTTCTATATCAAACCATAATATTATTTGATGGGATGCTTTATTTAACATCAATATATATTGCATGGCTCATTATATTTCATGGTCTTGGACCGTGTATAGTTTAGATCTGGAATAGTTTTGTCCAGTTCTGTTTATTAGGTTCATTTTTAACTCTCTTTTTAATAATTCGAACCGTTTATATTTTAAGGTCTATTAAGTATATTATTTTAGTTAAAAATCACATCAATTGGATAACGGATACTATAGTGTTTGGGAACTTGATTCCCAAATTTTTTTCTCATTTTTTCTACTAAAAGACAAAAGTTTTGCAAAACCAAAAAAAACAAATACAAACAAAATATCACATTCAATTCCATAATCATTTCACTTTTTCTCTCACAAACATCACATCCAACCACAAAAAAACCCAACTATCTTCCCAAACACTAAAAATTTTTTATCCAATAATATCCTACAACTAAAATAACCTACATAAAAACTCACTTCCCGAACACCCTCTATATATTCGGATTATTTTTGTCTACAAAAAAAATAGATGGTCAAAAAATTAACAATTTATAAAAAAGTGATCCGAATAGTACATAGTATCTGTTATCCGATCAACATAATTTTTTACAAGAATAATATACCCAACAAATCCTAAAATGTAAACTGTTTGAATTATCGAAAAGGGGCAAAAAAATAAATCCAATGAGCCAGATTAGACCCTCCAATTCAGATAATAGACTAGAGGCAAGCCACTGCCATATTTCATTTCTTCACATCCATGCATCCTCTTTTATAAGTCTTAATTATATGAATTCATTTTAATAATTCAAACCGTCTACTTGATAAGTTTTATAGTAAAAATTATTTATATAAAAAAAATTAACAATAGTTATTTAATTGTTGTAATTTAGGCTTGGATGGAACGTGGAACATGGAGGAGCCATTGCATTCTGATCCCAAGGCAAGCACCATACCATCTCTGTAATCAATAAAGCAAAAGAAATTAAAGAAAGATGGGTCACTGTCACTGTCGCAGAGTAAAGAACTGAATATTGATCACCAAATTTTCATGATGTGCTACGCTTTTTAACTGATGTGCTCTGCCCCATCCTAATTCAATCATTATAGGCTCCGTTTGGCCAGTTAGGTTGGGAGTTTTTTTGACTATTTTAATTACAAAAGATAAAATAGGTTATTTTAGTCACAAAAAACAAAACATCACATCCAACCCATAATCATTACACTCTTCTCTCACAAAAAAAGTCAAAAAAGTCAAAAAGTCAAAAAGCTCTTCCCAAACCAAGTTTTTTAGCCCAGGCTAAAATAGCCAAAAAAACCAAAAAACCAGAAAGTCAACCCACTTCCCAAACCAAGCCATAGTATGCAATGATTCTCACTTTTTCATATCTACGACACAATATCAAAGTTGTTGGTTACACATTTTGTGCTAGCCAGTGATAATTCGACGCATGGTAAAGTGAGGGTAATATGGGGAGACCATGTAGTTCTTCGATTCTGATCATACACGTGGCAATTAATATTGGTTGTTATAAGATCTGAGTAGTAGCGGATCAACAAAGAGACGTACAGTGACGTGACTTCAACGGTTGCTCACATTCAAATTCAAATATAAGGGGGAAGCCTAACTGCAAGTGAAGGCGTAGTAGAGCTACTTATAAGGTAGCATGATCAGCGACTCCGGAGGAGCAGTTCGACGGTTTGAAGTACAATTCGATGGTTATCTTCGGAAAGTATAAATAGCAGGAAGGACTTCAGAGAAGAAAAGGAAGAAAAGATCTAAAGAATTACTTTACATATTCCAGTATTATTTCCTGTCCTTTATATTTCTGTACTTTAAGTTCCTGCGCTGCACTTCATTTGTAGGAGTAGTTTTCAAGTATCTTGCCGCTGTAATTCTCTACGGAACTAAGATCATTGTAAGTTTTTCATACTAATAAAATGCTTCAGTTTATTTAACTGTTCTTATGCTCAAGTTCTCTGAAGTCAAATTACTAGTAAGCCACCAGTAAAAATCCTCTTTATTGAGGCCGAAAGAACCATAACATAATCGTCTGAATAATTGTTTGGCAATTACAATTCTGTAAGGATTGATTGACGGCAACAACTTCCGACAATTACCTAGCAGCGATGGGCGAAAAATGGAAAAAAAAAATTCAAAATAGTAATTGCCAAAAAAGTCAATCCTTAAATTGGGGTGATTTGGAAAGTTGGTTAAAAGTTGACTTTTTGATTTTTTTTTGACTTTTTTTGTCCTTTTATGTGTAAAAAATGTGAAAAGTGATATGACCTAAAATATATTCAAAACTAAAAATTAACTTTTTACTAGCTTTTTAAATTGCCTCTAAATTGAGGGCAAATTATACTTTTACCCCCTTAAAGATTGGTGTCATTCTTATTTTGATTCATAAATGAGGATTCTCATTTTAGTCCCTCAATTATTAATTAAAAGATCTAACCACTGAGGGGTTATCTTTGGGGTTTAACTCTAAGAACTCGACATTCTAGAGGTTATTCTTAAGTGGTACTATATAATAGGGCTACTCCATCATGTAATTATAAGTCGCGGATTTGCACAAAGGCGAAAATTCAAATCTTTTACGATTTGTTCAGACTTGAAAGGTTCGTCCTACCAATCATATGTGTTGTTACTCAGATGATTAGATTGGACCCCTAGAAAAGAGTGAAATCTGAAACCTCAAGATTTATATCTCAATATCTTACCAAATTACCACATCTTTTAGATCCTTGTTTTGATCCAAATATCAATTATTGTTGAGGCTTAGGGGCAATTTTGGTCAAGAAGAGTAATGAGTGGCTCTCTGCATCAGCCGTAAAAGAAACTGGGGGTGCCATGGGGACTCTGAATGTCAGCGAGGTAGGTAGGGAGGCTAACCAGGTGCATGTGGTAATTCCAAGAAATGAAATTCAAATTGTTGATGGGCCTATATGCAACCCTGAGATCATCCGAAGCACTAGTGGGCCTGAGAGTCCAAGGCCCAAGGTAAAC